ATCAGGGATATTGGCCTGTAATTTTCTTTTTTTCTGGTATTTTTGCCCAGCTGTTCAGTCAGCTGTCAGTTCCTCAGGAGGAACTGCTCTGTATATAGATATAGACTCAGTATGTCTGTAGGAGGAGGCGAGTTCATGGTCCGCCTGCACTGCCTGTTATCTTAGTTCCTAACACAACCTAGATGGATGCGAAGTGAATGCTGCTGGATGAGTGAAGGAGTAGGGATGAACCAGGTCCTCCTTAGTATTTTTCATTGTGTCTTCATGATGCCAGTGCAGATTAACTGGTTTCCTTTTGCCTCTCCTCCTTCCTTTCTCCTTTAGCCATCCCTGTATATTTCTGACTTAGGAAATACGGCTCTGTTCTGGTCAAAAACTTTTAGTGACTTACCATTCATTTCCTGCAGAACCCATTTCATGCTCAATATCATTTAAGCCCTGTAAGCAGTGAATGTTCAATCAGCCTGCCCTGCAGTATTTCTTGTTTCTGCTTGCCCACCTTCAGACTCCAAACCTACCTCTTATCCATTCTGTTGTCGCAGTCCATAGCATGCCACCTCTGTGGTTTTGTTTATGCCTTACCTTCATCCAGGCATTTCTTCCCCAGCCCCTGCCTACTAAATTGGCATTCAAAATGTCCCCTATCCCAATCAGAATTAATCCTTCATTCTGTATCTTTCTATACCACTTTAATTTTTCCTCCATTGTGGTATATATCACGTTCTGCTTTGTATTATAGCTTTAGTTTTTATTCCATTTTTGCATATGTGTATTCTTTATTTTTTTAAGTTTATTTATTTATTTTGAGAGAGAGAGCGCGCTAAAGAGAGTGCATGAGTGAGAGAGGGACAAAGAGGGAGAGAGAGAGAAAGCAAATCCCAAGTAGGCTCTGCACCATCAGTTTGAGGAGCCCAATGTGGGGCTTGAACTCACCAACCATGAGATAATGACCTGAGGCAAAATCAAGAGTTGGACACTCAGCCTATTGGGCCACCCAGGTGCCCCTGCATGTGTGTATTCTAATAGATTATAGACTCCTTGAGTTAAATGTGAATCATTTAAACCTTGAAATACAAAGGCAAACTAGCTTGGTGCTATTTAATCAGTGTGGAAAACGCATGGGCTTTGACTTAGGCTGACTTTTGTTTGAATCTCTGTTATGCCACAAAAAGCTATGAGATCTCTCATTTTTTTCTTCTACTTTCCTAACTTGTAAAAGGAAGATAATACTACCAAATTTGCAACACTATTATGCAGATTAAATGAAATAATACATGTAAAGTATATAGCTTAATGCAATGGCCCATGGCAGAAATGGAGTAAATGGTTATTGTTGTTGTTGTTGTTACTGGTACTATAGTAGGAAGTCACTTTTGGAGAAAGATTTTGTTTTGTTTGCCTGAGCTCTTAGTATTAATGGTTTTCATTTAATTGCATGGCTAATTTCTAGCTGAATATAACTGAAGCTAGAAATTACCCATTAGCCTTGCTGTTAAATATAAATCTTCCCTCCCCCCACCCCCCAATATCTTACAATCTTGTATTACTTATTCTGGTATTACAGGATTTTCCTGGCAAAAAGGGTTGCTTGCTTCTTGAGCTTTTCCACTAACAGAGGGCCACATCGCTTCTAGGATTTGTAAAAACAATTATTTAAGCTTTAATCCTTTTTAATTCAATCTTTTCTGTGCTATTTTATAGTAGAGAAAGTGAATTGAATTTCTTACTTCTTGAGTTATTGGAACCTGCTGTGGGGCTAGAGAGACAATGAGGTGCTAGAGGGGCTTCTTTGGCCTGCGGGGTTCTAACACATCTTACCCTCCCACTTAGGTTAACTTTCATTGACTGTATAAGTCCAAAGCCTGGATGACACCATCTGAATCCGTAGTTCCTTATACCAAGAAACTAGCTAAAATTGAAGTCATCTAGGAGAAAAGATATATTATGCTTTTGTAAATTATTAGGAAAGATATAGTCCAGCTCATTCTCCATTTGAATTAGATGTTTTGTGTTTATTATTAATTAGAGTTTCCTAGAATTGAAATTATGGGAAGATGATTCAGTGTGGGGAAATACCTAATGTCTCTTTTCTCCTTTTTCAACTAAAGTAATGATGAAATAATCAAAGAAAGAAAAATTACTCATATATAGTTATGAAAAATGATAAGAATTGATCATATTTATTTAAAGCATATGCATCATCTTCCATAATGGTAAGAATAGATTGAGAACTAGCACTCGAAATTAACCTAAGACCTAGACCCTGGCAGAGGAAACAATACTTCCAGAGATTAAAATACTGGAATAGGAGAGGGAATCAACTTCATTTTCACCAGTTGATGATGATGGTGGTGGTGATGGTGGTGGTCATAGTGGTGGTGGTGATGGTGGTGATGGTAATACATGACATTTAATAGGCAAATTGTCAGGCACTGTGTAAGTCAATTAGTGTTCAATATTCCATGGATCTAAAATCCCTATGTCATAGGTATTTTCATATTCATTTTACAGTTGAAGAAACTAGGGCTTCAAGAGCTAGTCTTATCCAAGGGCACATAGCGTGTAAAGACGGAAGTGGAACTTAAACTGAATTCTGTCTGACCTATCATCAGTCTTCTTAATCCCAGTGCTGTGCTGATAAGGCTGATAAGGCTACTGTTTCTGTAGGTGAGAGTGAGGTCAGAGAACAGGACAGAACTTCTCTAGTAGCTTTCAGTCACAGCAGAAGCACCAGCCAGCCAGACCACCACTTCCATGGGTTTTTATGAGGGGGAGTTGCAGATTCACAAACGGAAAACTATGTTGTAAACCCCTTATGGCAGGGACATCATGTTAAACTGTTAGGAAGGGAAGACAGATATAATATATGATTCAGATACTCTGTTTCCTAAAGCCAATTTTAGTAGAGCAGTCTGCCAGCAATCCCATTCCAGTGCATAACGATTTTAGACTGCAAAAGCTAAGTAGAGGAGAATAATAGTGCACTCACAGTTGGTGTAGGTACCTCCTGATCCTATGTAAGAGAGACATTATGCTACTAATTTTTATCTGATTATGAAAATGACATGATTCCATCCAACAACCCAGAGGACTGAAGTTCTCTAACCAGCCCCTAAGTTTTTTCCAGCAGACCAAGATCCCGTTTGGGTTTGGCCTTTCAGTAGTTTTACTCTTTGCTTATCCCCTAACATCCACCATCAGACATCATGTTAACATCCCGTTAACAACTCATTAGGTAGATTCTTTAAGATTTAACAAAATAATCACCCCAAAGAATACACATACTTACAAAGTAATAAATGGCCTCCTTGGGATAGTTTACAAACAAAACAATGTAAAATAATATCGCCCCCCCCCAAAAAAAAAACCCACAGAAGTCAACCTAACTACTGAAATAGATCTCCCATAATCAAAGATTTATATAATACCAAATATCTATTCTTAGGAAATAAAAACAAATATGGCTGCAATGAAATAAAGGCAGAAAAGTGAAATTCCATAGCAATAATAATAATGATGATGATGATATTAGAGTAATAATTCACATAAGCATTAGAAGCAAAATAACATTTTTATTCTAAGACATTTTTTGATTTCAACATCTCTGAAATGTGGGTCTTCTTTAATAATGGTCTCTTTCAAATACTTTCAGTCACACCACAACGGTAATGATGATGCCCCTTTTAAGACTTGAGAGAGATGGCATCATTTCTGCATGAAATTTCCTGGCTTTAGATCCCACTCAGTAAAATCCAAGAGCCCTCACCAAAAACTACATGGCTCAGTAAGATCTGGTCACCTGTTCCTTATGTGACTTCATCTCCTAGACCCTTCTCTTTTTTGTTCACTCCACTGAATGCTACAGCCATGCGAGTCTCCATGTTATTCTTGGACCATCCAGGCATGCTTCCACCTCCCGTCTGTTGCCCTTGTTATTTCTTCTGCCAGGAATGATTTTTCTACTGAGAACCCCTATGGTTCACTCTCTTGTTGACTGAAGATATTTAATCAAATGATACTTTCTTATTTAGGCTTTCGCCTGTCATCTTGTGAAATTGCATCGTCATGTTTCCCTGTCTACCTTTCTGCTTCATTTTTATTTTTAGCCTAAATTTTCAATTAATTGTCCCTATTTCATTTATCTTGCTTTTTGTTTGTCTCTCCCCATTTGAGTATAAGCTCTGGTAAAAGCAGGGATTTTTGTCTGTTGTCTTCCTACTGTATCTCCAAGTCCTAGAAGAATGCCTGGTGCAGAGAAGGCACTTAATAAATATATGCTGAATATATGAATAAATATATATGTAAATATGTATAAATATATAATTTATAAATACACAAAATACAAAACAATAAATTGATGAATTACATGCTCGAAGGTTGGTGGGTGAGGCGGTGAGGAGGTGTAACTATCACGCTAAGCCTGTCTAATGACGTATGGACTAAGTGTTAAGCATCTTGAAATCCAAACCTGCTTCTGTTATTACTTTGGTGAAATTTGTCAAGTTAATCCCCTGAGCCTCCAGGTTGGACTGCATAATCTGAATGAATTTAGTAACCGGTCAGTTAATTGATCTTTCTAGTAAAAACAATTGAAAAATGAAGCCCAGGAATAGGAAGTGGGTGAATGAAACCATACCTTTTAACATAAATATTATCACCGTAAACAGTAGTGGTAGTGAGAGTTAGTGCAAAAGAATTTTAAGGTAACTTATAGTTCAAGTTCCTCTGTTTTATAAATAGTGACATCTAAGCCCAAGGTTTGACGGACTTAGCCAAGGTCAAATGCTAATTGCTGGTTGATCTTAGAACTCCACTCAGCATCTCTGGCTGAATCCAGTTTTCTTTTTACTATAACTGATTATTACACATGGTAAGTGCTAGTGACTTTCCAAAGAATTATTCTTAAGACGTTTTAATATAATGTTCAGCTTAGATTTGATGAATTCATTTAGTAACAGGAATACATAGATCAATTTATCTCTCTTTGTGATCTAATTCAGCTTACAGAAGAGATTGGAAAACTTGAAGATAAAGTGGAATGCGCTAATAATGCCCTGAAAGCAGATTGGGAAAGATGGAGACATAATATGCAAAATGATATCAAGTCAGCATTTACGGATATGGCTGAGGAGAACATCCACTATTATGAACAGGTAATTAGTGGTATGTAATATTGCTTCATTTTATGAAAGTTATCCTCTCTTTTACTTTCTATCTGTCCTTTGTTGAAAGTCTGTTAAAGAACCACGTATCACATTCAAAAGCCTCCTTGGTGGAGGAGCCAATGGAGTTGCCAGTTAATTGAGTAATGCTGAACCCCCCCACTGAAACAAATGTGTTTATGTGGAGGAAGGATGGAGAGTCTCCTTCTTACACAGCATGCCCCAGGTGCCTAATTTGAGCCTTGATGTGGGGAAGAATTATGCTACCATTTTGTTTTGTTTGTTTTCCCCACAGTTTCTTATTTTGGAAGGATTTGAATTTTTTAAAGCATCTTACAATGCTTGCCACTGAATCGCCTATCTTCCCTCGTCCTCTCCCTTTCTTATGTTATAAAGTATTTACAGCGTGAGAAAAGTACCAGAGGTTTAAGTGAGCAGAAAATCAAATCAGGTCCTGTACATTACTAATTTCCCTGCCATTTCCACCTTGACTTCTATAGCTGTTCAAACCTCAACAAAGAGCATGCTATTCTCCTTTATTTTTAAGTTCAAAATAGGACCTAGTCATCCTTTTGCTTTTCAAATGATTGTTTTTTATCTTTTTTTTTTCACAACTAACAGTTCCCCAAGGTAGTTGTCATTTTAAATGAATTTTATACTATCCTTTTTTTTTTTTTTTTTTTTTTAATCTAGCTTATTCTAAACATACTTTTCCTAGCAGGTACATTTTCAACATCTTTAACTTTATCTCTGGCTAAATTAATGACTGTATGAAATTGATACATTTATGCTCAATAGTCTATAGTGCATGCCTTTTTAATGCTATAAAATATTGTATATTTTGAAAAGATTAACTATTTTCATTAAGTAAGAGTTACTTAAGCCTCTGCTTCCAACAGACACTGTGCTGGGCCCTGCAGAGACCATAGCATGCAGGATAATCACAGTGCCTTTCCTATGTAGGCAGAGTCACCAAGGGAAACAGCCAGTTAATACAAAAGATTATAATAAGGTTTAATACATTCTAGCACAGAAAGACATTACAAGGGCATCTAACCTAATCTAAAAGGAATGAGGAAAGTTCTGCAGAGGATGTGGTTAAGTTGAGACCTGAATGATGAGTAAGAAGTAGGTGGATAAAAATGTGAGAAAGAGTTCCAGTCAGAAAAAATACATGCAGAAAATCCTAGAAGTGTGAGAACATGTTCAAATAACTGAGGCTCTTTTCTGGAGGTTGGAGAAGCAGAGGTCATGTTGAGTTGAAAAATGAGGTTTGTAGAGGAGGAAAATGTTTTCCTGAACCCTCTGAGGGTCCCTACCTGGGTCTGAAATTAAAGTGACAGAGATAAATTGACAGGAGAAAAGCATACAAACTGATTTAATGTGAGTTCTTTGTGACACAGAAGCCTCCCTAAGGACATAGAGTCTAAGAAGCAGACGTGAGTATTTTATGCTAGGTCTGCTGCAGGGTGGGCAGTCATGTAGAAACATGGTAGATTAAGGAGTATGAGGTGTGTATAATAAACTGGGGGAAACTTGACAAGAGCTGTTTGTTAGGTGTCTTCTCTATGTTCCTTTCCTTTGATAAGGACCTTCCTTTCTTCTAGCTACAAGGAGAGCACCTCTCATATGAGGGTTTTATCACCTGCACCAGGGGATAAGGGTTATGGAAGATCAAAGTGACCTTCCTGCCTCTGCCATAGTCTCTGACTCCTTCAGCCTAAAATATTCAAACACCAAGGTGCCCTATTTTGCTGCCGTTTGACCTGAACCACACTATGCTGAAGAGGGTGTCGTAGTACAAGTCTTTTATTTTTCATTCTAAGGGAAATAGGAAAGGCCATTGAATTTTCATCAGGGAAGTGACAATATTTATCAGATTTGCCTTTTAGAAAGGTCACTTTGGCTTTTATGGCTCAGAGTGAAACAAAACTGGATGCGAGGAGACTTAAGAGAGAGTGTTGCAGTACTGGACAGAGATGAGCACTGACATCGGGATTTCATGGTGCTGGCCTAGAGACTCAAGTGATTGCAAAGATCATTTTCTCTCCTTAATTCTTTTATTCTGCATTAACAACCTTAAGTAAATTCAAGTATCTCAAAGGAATTTCCCATAAGTCTCAGATTTTGAAATGATTTAAACTCTTTTGTTGAGGGGCCCCTGGGTGGCTCATTTGGTTAAGCGTCCAACTCTTGATTTCAGCTCAGGACATGATCTCTCAGTTCATGAGATTGAGCCCCATGTTGGGCTCTGTGCTAGCAGTGCAGAGCCTGCTTGGGATTCTCTTTTTCCCTCTTTCTGCTCCTCTCTCCCTCGCATGCACATTCTTTCTCACTCTCTCTCAAAATAAATAAATAAGCTTAAAAAAATAAAAATAGAAAACAAAAATGAATAAATTTTTTTTGTTGAATGATTTATTACCACTTAACTATTTAAATCCACAAAAATAACTTTCTCTCTACGTTACAACCTGTCCATTCTGATGTCACAGAATTGTTATGACAGTCAACCAAAATAATTTATGGAAAATGCCTCAAAAATTAAAATATGCAATATACTATAGGTAATTATAGTTGTAAAACATAAGTATATTTTAGAGTGTAAAAATCACATGACAGATATACTGACTATATTTTCCTTTAAATGATAGGATCTGCAAGCTTTTTTTCTAAGTGTGAAAATGTTCGTGGCAATTCCACTGAACTCCAACTAAAATGTTTGGGTTTTGACTCTACCTGTCACATAAATTCATACTTTTGTCAGTCTCATAGACTGATTTCAAATTATATAAAATATTGTTTTGTTAGAAACAGTTAAATTAGCATCACTGTGTCATATTGCCAGTTTTGTTCTTCACAGCAGTTTAATATCAGTATGTTTTTAACTCTTCCTCCAAGTGAATTATATTTATAAATGTTACTAAAAATGTATCAAGTGTACTGCATTCTTAGATGTATAACTTTGAGGGAATTTTTCTTTAAATTCAAAAAACCCCTGCAGCGTCAATTATTTGTTTTTTTTTTTTTCCCTGAGTGAATAACTTTTAACTGATTTGCTATATCAGTCCAAGCATAATTAGGAAGTTGGAGCCCTTAAATAATCAAGGCTTTCTAATTAGCACACAGACTGTGTGTCCTGAAACAGTAACAGTCTGCTGTTATCTGTTAACTTCAGAATCTCTTAGTTATACAGAGAAGTGAAATGTTCCAGAATCTTTCCATTTCCTTTTTAATTTAATCACATTCTTCCGGAAATACCTCTTTTTTCATCAACGTTTGCAAATATAAATTCCAAAAGGGGTTTGTTCCTAGTATGATAGATGAATTGGGGTATAAACATTTGCCTTTGGACTTGTTTTATGAAGTAAAATGGTCACAGCTTATTTATAACTTAAAATTTAAATAGCTAAGTGACAGGAAAATCAGGTTATGGAGACATGGGTCTGTATTAGAAGATAGCTATTGTCATAATGAAATGTAGTCCTTAGATGTGTGAATTTATCTGGAGATGGCACCAAATATAAAACAGGCATTTCCACATAAACTCCAAGTAAGTAAAATAGAGTTATTTTCATTTTGTCCTATAAGACCAATAACTAAGAATAAATATGAGTTATTTTAAAAAACAAGAATTAATAAGACACTACAGCAAAAAATCCAGTTGAACATGGGTGAATAATTTCAAAGTGTACGGGTACCCAAATAACCAATGAAAATTATTTCCTGATAAAAAGTGAGGGGATGCTAAAACCATAAAACATGACATGCTGCATTAAGTACATGGACATATTCTAATTGCTCTCTATTAGGTACAAAAGAGTATCTGTTTATATGGTTGTTTACGCTGATGGTAATGATGATGATTATGATGATGGAGATTTGAAAGGAAGTGATGCTTGGTAGATATTACAGACTAAAGAATCTACTTTTTGAGGGGCGCCTGGGTGGCTTAGTCGGTTGAGCGTCCGACTTTCGCTTAGGTCATGATCTCGCGGTTCGTGGGTTCGAGCCCCGCGTGGGGCTCTGTGCTGACTGCCAGCTCAGAGCCTGGAGCCTGTTTCAGTCTGTAACTCCCTCTCTCTCTGACCCTCCCTTGCTCACGCTGTCTCTCTCTCTCTTTCCTAGAAATAAATAAAAACATTTTAAAAAATCTTTAAAAAAAAAAAGAATCTACTTTTTGAAATTTTAATATCATAATGAAAAGATCACATAATGTTAATTTTTGCCAAATAAAGCAGTTTAATAGTTAAGTGACTATAATACCTAAGTGACTATAATACCTAAAGTCATATAGTTTACTACTTTGCACAGTTTACTTTACAGTATTAATGTACGGAAGTCCTTGTTTCATAGCCTCCTTTTTGTGGTTATAAAATTAATGTACATGCACACTAAAAACAAACAAAAACAATAACAAAAGCTAGGCACACTAACATAAGGTAAAGAATGCTCATAACCTTTTCTCCTAGAGAGAGTGGTATACTTAAATATAATTACAGACAAATTTACTATATTCGAATCAAAATACTTTAAAATTTCTACTGACCCCTTCTGAATGTGTCAGCATAAAAACATATGATTACTTATCTATTTTGTGTCAGGATGATGACAGTGGATATGTGTTATTTTGAGCTCCATATTTCTCATTTGTTTACTTTCCCATATAATATAATTTTAATATAATACATGATGGTAGTATATTTCTATTAGCAAAGGTAACAGCTAACAGTTGAGGCTTTATGCTATTTTTTTGCTCTCACAAATAATACTACTAAAAATAATTATGAACATTAGATCTTTAAAACTTTCTAGATAAGAATTTTAAGAAATAACCAGATCAGAGTTCAGTTCATTTCAAATTATATCAATTTTATTTAAAAGTGTCAGCTGTCTCATGTGAAATCATTCATTTAAAATTCTGTTAACATCAAAATTCTTGCTAAGTACTTGGGAGCATCCAGATTCAAACTTTTAACTCTTGCCATTTGGGA